TTTATTGTTTTCACAATAAGACATGGGAAGGGGTACAGAAACAGAAGGGGTGGGGAGGGGAAGGTAAAAAAGGAACTTCAATTGCACATCTCCACAGGTTATGCTTGCACGAATATACAGTTTACAGTATTGTAATATAAATAAAGTTACATATTTCATATTCCAGGGAGCCGTTCGACACCTCTCGCGCATACCTGTGTAGGTGTCAACAGTACGACCAGATAATAAGCAGTACAAAATTACATATATGGGTAGGTTACATACAAGGTCATGTTACAAGGTCAAGTTGCATATATGGACAAATTATATACATGGTCAAGTTACCGATCTCCATGTGGTCCACATGTTTCAAGTGTAATGTAAGAGTTTGGATGGGTCAAAATACTTCTGAAGCCCTTTTCATATATACATTGTTTGTCCAACTCTTTAGTTAGCTCCGATATGATTGGGGATTGTATGTGTTTTCCACACTCTCGCTATTAGCCTTTGTGCTGAAATATGAGCTTTTGTTTATGCTTGGGGACAGATCCTGGCAAGTACAGAAGTAAGAATGTTATAGGCAGTAAGGGCAGCCCCTGATTTGTTACTTCTAGGAGTAGTTTATTTACATTTCTCCAAAATTGTGTTATCTTTGGGTATTGCCACCACACATGCAACATGTCTCCTGCTGTTGGGTGACATCTCCAGCACAAGTGAGAGGCTTGTGGGTATAGCTGATGGTTTTTAGTTGGCACCATGTACCAGCAGTATAATATTTTTCGGTTCTGCTCAATAAGCATGGCCGATTTAACCAGGCTTTTAGAGGCATTTATCATGGATTCCCAATGTTTCGGGTAATATCACTTTCCAGATCCTCCGTCCAACAGAGAGCTGGTCTAGAGCTTTTTAGGGGGTCTAATCAGCAAGTATTTTGTAGCACATGGAGATCTGCTTACATAACGGAGGCATAGATTTGCTTATACATATATGTTCCCAAGGTGATACGCTATTGTGACATGTTCCGTGCTCTGTAGGCTTTGTGAGAGTGCCTATGATGTACAATTTAAGTTGTATATAAGAGAAGTTGGAGGATTGGGGCAGGGCATACTTGGAAGACAAAGTATGAAAGTCCAGCAGACCCGTCGCCGAATAGAGATGGTACAGGTGGGTAACCCCAGCCTCTTGCAATGGTTTGGCATGAAACGTGGGTATACAGTAATCTAAAGCCTGAATCAGTGTTGCTAATGATATGCAGCCAGGGACGCCCAGTTTGTGCCTGGTCAAGTTCCATACATGAAGAACTCATTTGGTCTGCAAGGGAACTCAGGGGGTTGGAGGTCTTTTGTCCCTAGGTAGCCACAGCAGGCTAGGTAAATCATACGGTTTTAGAAGGACTTTTTCAAGATTTATCCATTGGTGGGGGTTTAGCCTTGGCCGAAGCTTGCATTAATCCGCGGGCCACCCTAGGTCGGCCTCCTGCCTAAACAAACTTAATGAGGTCTTTATTTACCAACTTAAAGAATGTATGGGGTAGTTGTAGAGGTAGCGTATGAAAAAGATATTGAAGTCTAGGGAGTATAGATAGTTGCGTTCTGTCCATGTCGAAAAAACAGCTGTGCCCGCTTTTTAAGTAGTGTAGTACAATCGCTCCAGACCTTAACATAATTGGCAGCATAGAGGTCTGCCAGGTTTTTAGTAAATATTCATAAATATTTAATGTTGTCGTACCACCACTCAAAGTTATAGGTACGTTGGAGATAGGTAAGGGCTGTTGCCCGCATGCCAATGCTTAAGGCTTGCATTTTGCCGGTGTTTAGGGAATAGTAGGATACTCAAACGTACTCCCGTATGAGCTCAAGTAGATAGGTTATGGTTTCCAACGGCCTGGTAACATACAGCAGAATATCATCAGCGAATGCTCCTATTTTTATTTATCTGCCACTTATTTCCATGCCATGGATGGACGTGTGATTGTGTATGAGATTAGAAGGGGCTCCAGGGCCAGAAAGTACAAGAGTGGGATTATTCTGTTTGTTATCTTGAAAGGGGAAGACAGGAATCTGGTTTGCGGGGTCTGTGCAGAGGGACTAGAGTAAAGAGCAAATATTTGATTTGTGACTTGGGTGGGGAAACCATACGTTTTAAAAACTTTTTCCAGGACATTCCACCCGAGGCGGTCGAACGCCTTTTCAGCCACTAATGCCAAGAGCAAACCCCCCCAGCTGGATCTCTGAAATTGTTCCAACACCAGAGATAGTTTGCACATGTTGTCCTGCCACTGCCTTCCTGAGACAAAGCCTGTTTGGTCATCGGTAATAATGGAAGGAAGTATGGGGGCCAGCCGGTTTGCAAGTATCTTGGTGTAAATTTTGGCATCAGTGTTAAGGAGTGATATGGGCCTAAATTTATTGTATATAGTGGGGGCTTTACAAGGTTTTGGAAGTGTAACTATAGTAGCTAGTAACATCTCGGGGCGAGGGAGCCAGTATTAGAGGTCCTCTCATAGACCTTGAGTAATTGCGGGGCTAAAATTTGAGCATATTGTTTATAGCACGAGTTAGGTAGGACGATGGCTCCTGGTGATTTCCCTGGTGTTAGTTTTTTTTTATCGTGTCCAGCACTTCTTGTAGTGTTATTGGGCTCACTAAAGCTGTAATATGCTGTTGTTCAATCTGGGGGAGGGTTATGTTTGTAAGATAGGAATCTATTTCTTGTTCGTCAGGGGTGTGCGTTTGTGTGACTGTATGCACGTTGTACAGTTTGGAATAAAATGTAGCAAACTCTTCGCTAATTTCTCATGGGTTTAATTTTGTACCATCATTCCCTGTAAGGAATGGAATCCTAGATTCAGATAACTTCATCCTGTGCCGGTTCGCTACAACGTTGTTAGCTTTACCGCTATAATAGTAGGTATTCGTGTGTAATTGTTGTAGGAAATAGTTAGTTTTTGGCTCTTTGAGCTTCTTATACAAGGAGTCAAGCTTATGGGACAGGTCCTGAGAGGGACTAATTTTATTTTGAGCCGTAGTCATCAATTTTCAGTATACTAGTGTATATACATATATACTGTGTATATATGCAGATATTAGTGTATATTGGACATTGCTAAATAGGCCAACCAGTATGATATATCTGCCCAGGGGGTCGATATAATGTCTTTGTAGAGTATGGGCCGTGTTCTATGTACAAAGATAGATACTCCTTTCGTTTTACTGTCAGATAACACACGGTATTGCTCCAGGAAATGCTTAGTGAAAATGACAGGGATACTTTTTTTGTTAAAATTAGTTTCTTGAATATACACCACATCTACCTTGTGTTTCCTAAGATCCGGGTAGAGCAACCTTCTTTTCTCTGGGGAGTTTAACACCTTTACATTAAAGGTCATTATTTTCATAATTACACAGAATGAGTATTGCTTTTAGTGTGTACATCGCACCTTCACAAGTTGCTGATAACAAGGCTCACAACATAACACTGTGGAAAAGGGGTGTGATGCAGGTAGTACTTCCTGGGGACTCTCTCACACAGAATGTAAGCATATGTTACCAATAGACAGTCCTGTATTGAAAAACATGCATGCAGGGCCATATCTAATTCTCTACGTGTGTCATGTTGATATTGTGCACAAAAAGAAGTGTCAGTGGGACAAGGGTGTGGGGAGGGAAGGTGTGGGTGGGGGATAACAGCACAATTAACAATATCCTAACTTGTCTCCCAGTGTAGAAGACTAAACGTGCCGAGACTAGCTCGAACACCGGTGGTGGGGGTCATGGTGCGGGAACACTCCAGCGAAGAGCTACTTAAACCTATATGGCAATTAAAATAGAGGAGTTAAGGGCTGCGCTATTGGATAGTAAACCAGAAACCAATGAATTGAAACGTATATTCAACAAGTGATAAAACCTGGTTATAGTAGTTCCAGTTGTAATATGTTTAAGAATAATGTCCGTCCAAAATGTTCAGTGAAAATCGAGTGATAAAAATGGAATATATCAAAAATAGAATAAATAGAGGCAATCTCACTGATATAGGGTATGAGTACAATCCTCAGGGGTAATTCCGTCCAGGTTGTAAATAATCCGTATATGTGGAAATAAAAAAACACAAAAAAACTGCCAATAGTGAAATAATGAGGTAGGCTGAACTTGATGGACGCAAGTCTTTTTTCAGCTATGTAACTATGTAACTATGTAACTATGTAACTATTGTATTGATCCAAGGATGGAAAGATAAATCAAAAGGAGGATTTGCACTCACATTTGGTGGAGCTACGGCCAGCTCTGAGGTGAAGGGCACTTAGTGGTATAATCCCCACTTCAGGATGTACTGGAATAGTAGGTCCGTCTGTCCGGAAAAATAGAGCAGGAAATACTGCTCTATTATCACACCGCTGGTGGAATTATCCCCACCTATGGATTATTTGGATGTAGCTCGGACCGGCTCTTGTGTGAGAGACGCTTGGTGGTATACTCCCCACTTGAGGGTATACTGGAAGGGTAGGTCCGTCTGTCCGGCTGGGTTCCGTCGTATTCCACAGGATATATGAAACAGTAATAGTGCTCTCAGTAGGAACAATAAAATAAATAAAATAGAATAAAATATACTCACAAGAATAGAGCAGATTGATACTGCTCTATTGCCACAGCGCTGGTGGAATTATCCCCACCTAAGGATTTCTTCTGGTTTTCATTTTTCAAGAAACCATTTTATATAAGGACCAGGCAGACCACCCAATGCATTGAAGCATAAACATGTGTCTTCAACTATAACAGGACCTTGAATCTGTCTTGCAACTTCTTTGCACTTCTGAATTGAAATCTCATTGGGTTCACCTTGGTACTCTGGTAAGTCAATTTTCTTGGCCACTAGCTTATACGGAAATCTGTCTCCAAGGATCTGAATAACCTCTTCGAGTTTCTTGGCATTCCCAGTCACAAAGACTATACTCCTGCTGGTCTTTGTAGGAGTACCGAACTGCCAAAGTGCCGAATTTCGGAAGTGCTTCAGACTTCTGAAAAGGGTTAGGGTAGGGATAGAGTTAGGAGTAGGTTTAGGGTAGGGTAGGGTTAGGGTAGGGTTAGAAGCAGGGTTAGGGTTAGGAGTAGGCTTAGGGTTGGGTTAGGAGAAGGGTTAGGGTAGGGTTAGAGTTAGGAGTAGGGGTCGGGTTAAGGTAGGGTTCGGGGTAGGGGTAGTTTAGGGTTAGGGGTAGAGGTACCCTAACCCTACTCCTAACCCTACTCCTAGCCCAAGCCTACCCCTACCCTTAACCCTACTCCTAACCCTACTCCTAACACAACCCTACTCTTAATCCCAACCCTAACCTAACCCTAACACTACTCCTACCCCAACCCCTAATTCTACCCCAAACCCAATCCTACCCCTAACCGTTTTGCCACTTTTCAGAAGTCTGAAGCACTTTGGGCACTTCCGAAATTCAGCACTTCGGCAATTTAGTTCGGTTCGGCTCGGCATTTTGGAAATTCGGCAATTCGGACATTCGGAAGCATCCGAATGTCCAAAATTCGTCCGAATTTCTATTCGGACTGAACCGAATTGCACATGTCTAGTCTGTATGTTAATTTCTGCCTCACTGTGTACTTACAAAAAAAAAAATAAAAAAAAAAAATAAAAAAAAACATACTTTACTGCATGTCAGTGTAGTCCCATGTAGTTAGAATGCTAGAATACACAACTAATCCATTATACCAATATCTTTAAGTCTGGCTAAGTCTTTAATTGAGTCATTTAGGATGATATATTGACCTTTGAATGATACTATCAACTTAGTTGGGAAACCCCATCTATAAATAATATTTTTTGATCTTAGTTTCTTCATGATCTCTTTTAAACTTGCTCGTTTTTGCCTTGAAGCCAGAGAGAGGTCAGGAAAAACGATAATGCCTTAAAATTTTTCATTTTTTAGATCTATAACATCTATAACAGTTCTATTAGTAAACCTAGCCCTTACATCTCTCGGTCTAGAGTCTTCAGAATTACTTGCTCTACATATTCTATGACATATTTCCAATGGGGATGGAACAAAATATGCGGCTTAATGTATTGAGATATAAATTCTGTAACAGAGCTCCAGTACTCCGACCGAGTACCTCTGCCAAGTCTGCTTCCTTGTAGCTATCAGGTACCCTGAAACACTTCAGACCCAGACGCCGAGGCTTGACTGGGATCACTTAGGGCCTTTTCCACCCTGGACCAAACACCAGACGACACATGGTGAAGGTTAAACAGCAACTATTTAATGAATACAGCACACCTAGTTTAAGCCCCCAACAGCCTCATTTACATGCAATAGGTTACATAGATTACTATAGTACGAGGAAGGGTGGGGTCAGACAATAGCAAGGGCTGATGGGAGATTGAGGAGGGACAGAGCAGCTAGATTAAACTGGTCTGGCAGTGTCCCTGGGACAACGCCCTGCTGGGGAAACAATACGACATGAAAAAGGGGGGAGTGGGAGAGGGACAGACCAGCAATACATTCAACATACCTTGCACAAATAATAGGCACAATGTGACAAAACACAAAAGGAATTTGGGAGCCCACCAATAGTGTCTGTCTTCTATCCCCAGTGATGGTGACTACCGTCACAAATTCAATAACAGATTTCTACAAAATGGGTTGTTTTATATTTTCTGAGATTCCTTTATATCTGAGGTTGTTGCGACAAGATCGATCCTCCATCTCAACAAGCCTAGGTTCTAATTCTTTTAACTTGTTATCAAGGGAATTATTCTGTGTCTGGAGCAGGGACATCTCCGTTCTAGCGTTAACAATTTCTCCGTCTTGAGCCTCAATTTTTGTGTTCAAGGCAGAGATCTCCTTAATCAAATCAGACATATTCTGTTTAAGATCATTTTTAATGTTTGCATACAATTCCTCCATTATTGCTGTTAAACTTTGTTTAGTAATTACATCACTGTCTGGGAATATTGGATTATCGTCAGGACTTATTACGTTGAGTCCTTCTCTAGGGATAGGTGAGAGGAATCTCCTCTGTGACACTGATTTATCAATGTCTGACTTGGGTGAGTAATAAACACTGATTGGTTTATTTTTTTTATGATTTATCTTCTGAAGAGGTATTGCACACCTGTGCAATAATCATGCTGTCTAATCAGCATCTTGATTTACCACACCTGTGAGGTGGATGGATTATCTCGGCAAAGGAGAAGTGCTCACTAACACAGATTTAGGCAAATTTGTGATCAATATTTGAGAGAAATAGGTCTTTTGTGTACATAGAAAAAGTCTTAGATCTTTGAGTTCAGCTCATGAAAAATAGGGGCAAAAACTAAAAATGTTGCGTTTATAATTTTGTTCAGTGTATAAATGAGTTCTAAAGCTCTCCATATTGACTACGCATTAATTTTGCCATTTGGAATTTAACTTGGTTAAATTCGGCATCCGTAGCAGCCAAGACAAATATGTATGGAATCATGCCTATATTAAAGATGCACTAAGTAATGAGACCGACATGGCGACAGCTTATAATACTATTTTATTTAGGGTAGCTGGAAGTGGCAAATAGGCGGTACTTATTTTTAATTTCAAGGTAAAATAAAAGTTACAAACATTTTTTTAAAATGTCTTTGTTTTTTGTCATAAAACATTGTATGCTGTCACTCGTAAAGTGGAATAATATTCATTTTATAATCTAGTGTCAACGGTGAATCAATCTTTAAACTCTTTATCTCCATGTGTCTTAAACACTTGGGTAGCAAAGTGAATACTTGTGTTTATGTCCTAATGTAGGATTAGGATCTTAAGCTCCTCTGGTGACTTACAAACACAATACAGAAGTTTATTGCTAAATGGAGTGGACTGTTTACATTATAGATCACTTTACAAGTAGTGTTTAGATTTAATTTTGTAGTTGTATGATATCGTAGGATTTACAATTATGTGCAAATGCCTTCCTTTGATCTGATAGAGGTCAGGAACAGTAATCTTGGATTTATAGGATGAACACTGTCATTGTCTACTTGAAGCTACTTGGGGTCATGTTATATCCAATCAGATAATTTCCTTACATGTCAATGATTTTATTACCATAAAAAAAACGTGTATCAGGCAGAATAACAGATCCTAAGGATGGACCTAATTGTAAAACAGAAAGTTTTTTAGGCAATTTAACAGTCAGGCATTGCAGAATAAAATAGCATACATATATCTGTGACTATAGAGTATGCAACCTCTTGGATGAACTGAGGATCAGGCAAAAAGATCTCAGTGACTTTGACAAGGGCCAAAGAGTGATGGCTAAACAACTGGGTCAGAGCATTTTCAAGGCTCATTGATGAATGAGGGGAGCGAAGGCTAGCATCTGGTCTGATCACACAGAAACACTGCTGTAGCTCATATTGCTGAAAAACATAATGCTGGCCATGATAGAAAGGTGTCAGAACCCACAATGTATTGCAGTTTGCTGCGTATGGGACTACGTGGCAGCACATTTTCATTTAGAACAAGTTGATGGACGGTTGCATGTGTGTCATTTACCTGGGGAAAAGATGGCAGCAGGACCTGGGACCTGGCGTTCATGTGGATGTTGCTTTAAAAAGTACCACGTACCTAGACATTGTTGCAGTCCATGTACATTCCTTTGTGGAAATGGGGTTCCCTGATGGTAGTGGCCTCTATCAGCAGGATAATGCACTCTGCCACACTGCAGAAATGGTTCAGAAATGCTTTGCTCAGAGGCAGAGGCGGCTCTCTAATTAGGTGGTTTAGGCGGCCGCCTAAGGCTGTGCGCTGGCTGGGGCCTCGTGGCCGCCTACACCGCCTGTGGGCAGACTTTGTCAGGTCCTCGGTCACTGAACGAGGACCTGACACCAGACACCAGGAGGTGCGAGGCCCCTCCTGGCTGCCCGGCCAGCCACTGCAGACACCGGTCTGCAGCACCGCAGTAAGCAGAGCCGCAGACCATGTGTCTTGCGAAAACCGGCCAATCAGAGCGTTGCCGCGTGTTACCACGGCAACGCTCTGACATCTCGTGAGATTACATGGTCTGCAGCTCCAGGGAGCCCACTGGACCACCAGGGAGTAAAAGTAGGCTCTCTCTCACCCCCCTCAGCCTCACCCACCCACCACCCTCAGCCTCACTACCACCCACACCACCCTCAGCAGAGGCGGCTCTTGACTTTATGAGGCCTTAGGCGAAACTCAAACATGAGGCCCCACTAACAAAAAAGTGTCACATATACACATTGATGCACAGTTTATCTGTGTATGTGTCTGAGAGTGTGTCTGACAGAGTATCCTTGTGTGTGAATGTATGTCTCTGTGAGCATGTTTGCGTTTTTGTCTGAGACCCTATGTGTATGGGGTAGCTGCTTAAAGTGTGTTGTGTGTATGGGGGGGATGATGGTGAGAAGGAGAGGTGGGTGATGGTGAGAGGGGGTGATGGTGACAGGGAGGTGTTGGTGTGGGGGGTGATGTGAGAGAGGTGATGGTAATGTGAGAGTGAGGGGGTAATGTGAGAAGGAGGGGGGGGTAATGTGAGAGGGGGGTGATGTGAAGGGGGGGGATGTGAGAAGGAGGGGATGTGTGAAAAGGGGGTGATGTGAGAAGGAGGGGGTGATGGTGAGGGGTTGATGGTGAGGGGGAGTGATGCTGAGGGTGGTGGGGGGATGGTGAGGCTGAGGGTGGTGGTGGGGTGGTGGGGGCAGTGGTGGGGAGGCTGAGGGTGGTGGGGGCTGGTGAGGGTGAGGCTGAGGGGGGTGATGATGCTGAGGGTGGGGGGCTGAGGATGCTGAGGGTGGTGGGGGGTGGTGAGGCTGAGGGTGGCGGGGTGATGCTGAGGCTGGTGGGGGTGGTGAGGCTGAGGGTGGTGGTGAGGCTGAGGGTAGTGGGGTGATACTGAGGGTGGTGTGGGATGGTGAGGCTGAGGTGGTGGGTGAGGGTGATGCTGAGGGTGGTGAGCTGAGGGTGGTGATGCTGAGGGTGGTGTGGTGGTGAGGCTGAGGGTGGAGGTGGTGGGGGGGGTGCTGAGGGTGGTGGGGGGTTGAGGCTGGTGGGGGTGAGTCTGAGGGTGGCGGGGGGTGGTGATGCTGAGGGTGGTGGGGGGTAAGGCCTCATAAAGTCTAGAGCCGCCTCTGTTCAGAAGTCTTGTGGAGTTCATGCCTCAATTCATCACCGCTGTTTTGCATAACTAGGGGGACCTACATCATATTAGACAGGTGGTTTTATTGTTGTGACTTACCAGTGTTTATACAATGGCACAAGAGGAATGGCTAAATGCAGAACTCAAGGAATTGCTTGTTCGATAAAATTTTGTTCATGCAAT